ATCCTCACATTTGAGTTGCTGGAACCAAAGAAGAATGTTGATAATTTACTTCAATCAATTATGAAATTTAGCTCTAGACGAGATTAAAATAGAATGGGTAGCTAGGAATAAGGAAAAGTCAACAAATCCTTTGGGACATGAAAATCGTAAAATGTCTAAATTTAGGATCAATATTTTACCATGTGACCTATGACTAATTGATTTTATCACACTGAAATACTATTGGAGCATTCATGCATAGATTTTCTAGCTACAGAGCTAATATTTATAGAACGCTTCTTTTAAAGTGTTCAAACAGTAAATAGTCTCAATGAAATCTGAGTATTACAAAGTGACTATAAATAATGATACCGTTTTCTTCAGGTAAAACAGTCAAACAGCCAAGGTTTGATTGCCTGAGAACCTCAATCTGTGAGCCTTTTTTAAAATATTAAGTGATCTGGTGACCAACAGAGGTTAAAATCACTGAACTAACTGGGTTGTTGGCATCAGTTTAGTTTGGTGATGTTGTATTGGACGCTGGGGTGTTTGTAGTGCATTAACACTACATCCCCTCTGGCCTATTGATGTGGTTGCTTTCCAGGTAAATTGGATTCCAGTAGCACAACCAGCAGGAGGTTTGAGCTTTAGTCAACTACAGCAGAGGCTAACTGACTCGCATGGCCACCACAACATGACCAATATGCATCCATCATCCCTGATGAGCAGTAGACACAACCCACTCAAATTCCACGATCTGTTGTAGGATCAGACGAGCTCTCGAACTCCGGCCTCTTCTTTTTTCTCTCTCCCTCTCTCTCCTTCATTCTCTCATCCAGGGAGAAGTCAGCCCAATTAAATGGCCATCTGGTCCTCCGCAAAGGCCAATATTTTGTTCATATTCCTGTTGGTCAGGCGCTTGCACTAATACAGCCTGACACCCCAGCTGCAAGAAGCTTTGTGTGGCTTAAATGCTCCTGGGGGCACGCACCAATTAGGGGGTGCAGCGGGCAAGGCACCCCCACATAGGCCAAGGAGGCTCGACTGTGTCAGCGGGTAATTTAGCGGAACAAGGGAGCGTTGAGACCCAATTACAGCAGCTCTGATGTGAGACACGAGCCCCTGGTTGCCTTCACACATTTCGTGTCTGAGAGGTCAGCGGGGGTCATACCCACATGCCAGAGCTGCCATGAGAAGCGGGACACCACGCAAGGGTGGGAGAAAGATGGGACGTTTGTTCACATTTAGCCCCATCCTCCAACCTTCCCTCCATCAGTTCCAGTTACTTTCAGACCACTCAGCAAAATTGTCCAGTTGTATCTGAGTGTTGGCTTTAGTCGTAGAGTATTGTGCCAGATCAAGTCATTCCCTGCTCTCTCAAAGTTGCTGTGGGAGTGGGAAACTTTGGCTCAAGTCAGGTATGGGCATATCTTAAGTTAATGCTTCATTTGCACGCAACTCTCTCCCTCATCCACTGCCATTCTGGCTTGCAGAGGCCTTTCTCAGCTTTTATCCAGGCCTCATGTTCTCTCGCTCCCTCTCTTCGGGCCCCATCATTCAATGAGTTGAATTTTGCAGCAAGTTGAAAATTTATGTCCTGGAAAAGTGCAGATGTTTGGAGCTGAGTCAGATCAGTTATACTGTACCTGGCTATAGAATAAACCCCAAAACGGTGAAGTCATCTCACGTTCGCCAGCCTTTCTTTGCATCGACCTGACTTATTGCTTCCAGTTTTACTAACGTCACAAAACAAGGAGAAAGATGTCTAAATACAGATGTAAAGCATAGCAGAGATTATGCTAGAAGTCAGTAGGTCCTATGCAGTTAATCTCTGGGTGCAGTTTTAATGAGGCTTTTCCTCCCCTGCCAGTGGTTTCATGGCTGTACTACCTGGTACCGTGCACTCTCTGGCTCTGTGCTCCCCTCCAGCAAATGTTTACAAAGGAGGCTGAATCATTTCTCTGGCCAGGCTTACATACTCTACCAACCAATGAAAACGTTAGCGTTCATTTATAGGACCACAGAATTATTGGAAGCTAGGAATGAAACTGTCAAAAGTAATTGCAAACGCTAACCCCAATTTTCCAGAACCCAAAGTGATGTCTTAAAATTGCTTGCAAAAACCCAGAGGTACCACATTTTACTTTACAGCCAAAGTGTGGTGTTTTTACTTGTCAAAATTGGAATTGATTAAATCTCCGGCTTAGTACTTAAATCAAATTATCAACTTTTTTTTTTTTTCCACACACAACTGGTAATCTCGAGTTATTGTGATATAAAGGTGTTCATTTGCAAGCTCAGTGACATTTGAAAAGATTGTTGCAGGCGTCATGTATTGTTCTTCACTATGGCAGCGCACATCTAGCTTGAATAGATCTAGCAGTGCTACCAACAAAAGGCCTGCTGGTTGTTTTTAGACCTCCTAGTGGGAGAGTGATTGGTCAGTTCCTGTCATAGCCGTCACATGTCACACCTGCTGATTGGCTCACGCTGTGTCCAAAAGTCAGCAGACGAGCCGGAATGAGGAACGGATCCATAGGTTAATCAACTGGAAACTGCTAACTCTCTCTGAATCTCCTCCGCGGGGGTTTGCTCTTCACACCACCTCGCTAACACTCATCGGACCGGGCGGTGGAACCACTCAGGCTCTCACGTGGCACTCCGGCGAAACCCTTTCATCTCAGAGCTCATCTCGCCACCGATTGTTCTGCTGACTGCTGCTCGGGCAGGGCGCAAGGCTAGGGTAGACGAAAAGGCTGAATTGTATTGTTGTTGAGTGAACGGAGGCCTATGATTGGTGTTGTCACCAAGTCTTTAGAGTCGGGCCCAGCGACGGGCACCAGATCTGTGTGGGAAAAGAACAGATTGTACAGCAGCACACACACACACACACACCACATACCTGTTTGTTCAGTGAATACCTGAAGAGGGGAAAACCCTCATTTTTCTTTTCCATCAACATCTAATTCACACCCACCACAAAGGGAAAAACTAAACTTAAATCTTTATTTTTATCATTTCCAGTGCTGCACCTCCAGTACTCAGACTGATTCTTTTTTTTTGTGTGTGCCTGTTATGAATTCTCATTCAGACGCTTCTCACTGCATCACCATGGAGAAGAGGGAGAAACACATGGAGAGGGGGAATGAGAGGGAGGCAGAGAGGATCAAAGGCCTTTGGCACAGACAAACTGCACAAGTGAACTAACCTTCCTCTTTTTTTTCCTTTGCCCTTCTGTCTCTTCTATCCTTCCCCCAGACCACCAAGGCGTTTCTCCCCAAGATGCTGGAGCTGAATCATGGTCACATTGTGACGGTTGCCAGCTCCCTGGGTTTATTCAGCACAGCTGGAGTGGAGGTTAGTATCATACACAACAACACATACACATCCCATCGTTCCCACCATCCAAAACCAGTGCTTTTTCTCCGGAGCCCTCAGCGTGCCAGCTAGCACACTGGGCCGAGGGAGGTTAGGCCCCCTTTCTCTAGTTGTCCCTCCACCCGTTAAATTAAGGGACACAGATGAGCATTGGGGAGCCTCTTATAGATTCCTCTATCTGCAGCAGTGGGGGTGTTGAGCTCCTATTGGGCTCTGGCCCCGGGGCCAGAATGAGCTGACAGCTCCCCAAGGGACAGAGACATCTTCATCACTGCTTTGTGAACAACTTGGTGCTCACTCAGTATTCTGCTCACAGCAGCTTTCAATGGATAAGGTTTTGGTTTTCCTTCCTATAGTTTTTTTTTTTTTTTCTCCCCCAGTACAGATTCTTTTTGTTAATTTAATACATATTAAAATACTTAGTGGAGTCATTTATCTCCATAACAGCATAGGGAGTAAACTGGTAGCCCCTGCCGAAGGTTTTATTTTGATATCTCACAAAAAAGAGTTCTCATTTATCCCCCATGGCTGAGAATGGTGTCATTTTCAGATGGTGTACAGGGACTACTACTCCATTTTCCTTTGTTTTTATAGCTGCACATTTGCTTTTGTGGAACAAGCATTCATCCATAATGATTAAGCCCCCCCCACTTCAAAGAGAATGCAGTATAGTCTGTTTTTGTTAACCTATTATGCTTCCTGGAAATGCCTACTGTCATTTCAAACATGCACAATAATTTCAAGGAACCAAAGCCTCTGACTGTCATGTGGGCACAGTCAAATCTCTTTATCCTCCATGTTTATCGACATGCATCTGTGTTTGCCCAAGCCTTTTTTTTTTTTTTTTTTTTTAAGATTATTTCCACAGCGAACCACATCAAAACCTTTCCGCCGAGCAGAGCGGTCTCCTGATGCACTCGAGAAGAATGCTAATGAAACCGTAGAGCGGCGGACAGGCTCGCTCAGGTTTTTGTGGCTGTATCATTACCAGCCAGGAGAGACCTCTGTGCCCGCGGGGCATGTTTGATAATGTTCCGTGGTCCCCGGGTGCAGGCAGGGGCAGAGTTTTAACAGGGCTAACTGTTCTCCCTCTCTGTTCCCTCAGGATTACTGCGCCAGTAAGTTCGGTGCCATTGGGTTCCACGAGTCACTGAGCCATGAGCTGAAGGCCTCAGAGAAGGAGGGCATCAACATGACTCTGGTGTGCCCTTACCTGGTAGACACGGGCATGTTCAAAGGCTGCAGGATAAGGTAAGCCTCGACACACACTGGCCGGTGTAATTGTTTTTGTGTGCGCCGTTCTTTTTTTCCCCCAGCATTCTTGCACCTGGGATGCCTTTGCCGTCTCTAATTTTCACTGTATAAAATTGCCTCACAAACACCTTTTGAACTTCAAAGCAGCAGCTGACAGTTTGTGTTGTGTTCAAGATATTATAAAGTCACTTGTATGCCATTGGCTGGCTGCGCTGCTTAAACAAAAGAGGGCGACTTTCCCAGGGGAAAACCTCACCAACAGGTGCACTATGGGCTAACACCCCCCCCACCCCCCCTGCTGCTGCTGTAATAGTCCTCACTTTGTTTGATGGTTACAGTCAGCAGGTGGCATGTTCTTTAGCTTTACTGTCCTTAGAACTGTTTTATTACTGTGCGCAAGAACTGTTAACAACCTCTTTAACCAGCACCACTTTATTCGTGGATTGATTTATCTTTAAAGTATATCAACATTTTAAATGGAATGCACCAAAAAAAAGCTCTTTCCACTCCTGTTTCTGAATGATTTCAATTGGTTTTCCTAACAAAATTTCTGAACCAGCTTTAATAAATTAGTTTTTTAAGGCCCCTGAATTTTGAGCGTGTAAATAACAAGCCTATGATTTTATTTTTTTTTTCCATTCAGGAAGGAGATTGAGCCTTTTCTACCTCCCCTGAAGCCAGAGTTCTGCGTGAAACAGGCCATGAGGGCCATCCTCACTGACCAGCCCATGATCTGTACACCTCGCATCGTCTATATGGTCAACTTCATGAAAAGGTGCCTCCCTACATTCTAATCGTATCAACTCCATTTCAGTTTTTTTTTTTTTACTCCCATCAGCTCTCAGTAAACTATACAGGAGTGTCCTGTGTCACTAAGCTTATCTCTGTCCTGTCTCCGCAGCATCCTGCCCTTCGAGGCCATTGTGTGCATGTACCGGTTCCTGGGCGCTGACAAGTGCATGTACCCCTTCCTAGCTCAGAGAAAGGAGGCCATGAACAACAACGAGGCAAAGAATGGGATCTAGTGGGCGCTGTTTGTAACACGAACAGAGGCACATAAAACCTGCAAGCATGAGGAAACAACCACTGAGGATGAAATGGGGAAGACTGAATCTAGACTGGTGCACTTGCATTGAGCAAATGCAAAGGTTTACCATATTGTTCCTCTGGAACAAAGAAAGCTGTGTACTACACAAAGGATTTATTTGACTTTGTCTTGTCTTTCTTTTTTTAAGTTTGTTAAAAGAAACCATCTATATTCTGTGTCACTAGTTTTGAAATCATACAGAAAAGGTATCCAATAATTAACTATTTACGTAATGTAGTCACCAGCCTTATCTAGTGTCATTGTGGAAATATACAGTATGTTACTGTACAAACAGTAAAAAAAAAAAAAAAAAATGTTTTCACTTTTATTTTATTTTTGTAGACATGCACTGTAATTTCTGATTTTTCTCTACACTGCCAGCATTCTCTGTGTAGGAAGGTTCAACGCAGCGTTTCAAACTACCCAACGTCTCCCCATGCAGAGGCTCTTTTTCAGTCAGTCAGGAAATTGGTTTGCAGCTTAACACGACTCCAATTTAAAACAAAGCAAGAATATTTCACAATTAATGTTTACCATATTCCGTTGTTGTTAAATACTTAAGTTACACACATGTAGCATATGTTGATAATGAAGTCATTCCAAATGGGAAATTTAAAGGCCAGACCGTGGCTGACTTAAATCTTCATCGGAGTTTCCAGTATAATGGGACTCAACATTGTCCCCCCCCCCCCCCTTTTTTTTTTTTTTTTAATGGTCCTGTTGTTTCAGGTCCATATCGACAAAACCTCTCAAATGAAAAGCGGACGAGGGAGTCAATGTGTTTGAACTAGCATGTGTGACACATTCAGAATGTACTGCTTTGGGAGAAACTGAGAGGAAATGCATTTTTATTTCTCTCATTTGTCTTTATTTTCAAGATATGTGGTGTTTATATTGTAAATTTATCTGTTATCAATATTATTTGTTTAGAAAAAAGTAAAAAAAAATAACCCGACATAGGCTGCAATTCCAGGTGAACCGCTGTCCCCGACACTGATGTGTGGTTGAGGGAAATGCATTAAAAAAACGTAGCTATTCTTTTCCAAAGTAACACTAACTCTCCTGTCCATAGTCCACTTTGTCCAAGTGAAATGTAAATGTTTTAATGTTGTGAATACCCCAGTATCCCAAAATGACCTGTCTCCACCATATTTGATGTATAAATATTTTATATACCTTTGGGACGACAAGAGTTTTTGAATTTCAACTACATTCCAATAGGCATCATTCCTTCAGTCACAGTGATGAGCCTAAATTCTCTACCTCTTAATTTTTGCCATTTGTTTTGACAGTATGACATAAAAGCCTCTTTTTTTTCTTCTTTTATAATTTTCTGAAGACTGCTCCAGAGCAGAGCAAATGTGGTTCCAATGTTTAGTGTCTCTACCTAACTTAAATTAATAAAAGTGATTTAGATTATTAAATGGTGTCTCATTATTATATTCGTAAGCATGTGAATTGTCAACCTGAATTGGCAGTGGGAGAAAATTGCATGAAAATGGTCGTGGGAAATTCTCCTGACCTTCAGAGTTTTTACACCCACACTTACTTGTGATGCTGGTGTCATTAGAAGTAGTGGTGAGTATGTATCTGAATTCTGTGAATAACCACAGTAAATGACAGGAAAGAGGATCTTCTGTAATGCTGATGAACTTCTTGGACGCTGTTTCCATTGTTAAGATGACACCCTACCAGCCCTTTTCTCCTCTTTATGACTACTCTTTTGACTAGTATCGGTATCACCGTCCTCCCACATTGTGCCACACATTGAGTCAGGTGGCCTTTAGATATGGGTGTTGGCTAAAGAGGGCAAGAGCCATTTGCCTTTGTAAGTAAGCATACTGTGCATACAGCTTGAGCACACATGATGTGCAAAAGAAGGCTTACCCAAGAGTCAGAAGGTGGCTGTCGCACTGTAAATGACTAAAAAGGGAAGAGGATGCACAAGTATAATGTGAAGTACACAAAAGGTTAGCTGTGGGTCACAATGCCAGGGTGTCCTAATGGTTGGCAAGAACAATCAGTGGTACTACCTGTGTTAAAAACCAGTTCTGGCAACCGTCTGGGAGCAAAAACAATGAAACACCAGGAGCTGTTAATGTCTCTGACCCTGACCTTTCACAAACATTTTTAGACCATGTGTCCTTAAAGATTCCCTCCAGAGATTCTTAGGCCAAGAATATAAAAATAATCCAATGTCTTCTACAGAAATGTCTGTTTGTATGCAGAAGTCTTCTAAACTCTGGGAACGCTGCTGTCTTTAAACAAATAATAAAATAAATAAAGTACAGAGAAAATATAATCTAACAGTTCCAATAAATTAAATGTGAAAAAAACACAGTTTTTGGTTTCTGTTATTTCCCTTGCAGACATTTTTAGGAATAAAAAAGTCCTGAGCCTAGGCCTGGAGGCTTCAACTTCATATATTTGTATCTGGTCCAGACAAACAGCCATGTCTTCCAACAGCGGGTCAATTCTAGATTAGTCAGCCTTGACCCCAGCCACCAATATAACACAGAGGTTCAGTGTGTGTGACATTTAGGAGAATCCATTGGCAGAAATGGTAAATAATATTCATATGTATGTTTTTAATAGTGTATAATCACCTGATAATAAAAAGGGAACAGAGGGAGTGGGCACTTTCACAGAGTTCATGTTATGTGGCAGAAACTATGGTGGCTGTTAAACTCACAAAAAAAAAACCTGCAAAGGACCCTATTTAGAGCCAGTATTTGGTTTGTCCCTTCTGGCCTATTGTAGAAACATGCTGGTTCAACATGGTGAACGCCATATGAGCAGCATCTGTGGCATCTGTAGATAAAAATGTCTCATTCTAAGGTAACAAAAACAAACAACAAATTCCTATCTTCAGAATATCATTTTCCATTTCTGCCAACAGATCCTTCTGAATGTTACACACTGGACCTTTAATACCAAAAACCGAGCGTTCTATAGGCCGGCTAGAGCTGGAGAAATGTAGTACATTTTCCATTAAAAGGTCAGCTAGCAGAATCTCAACAACAAAGTAGGTTTCTTCATCTATCTCGAACATTTCTTATGTTGGAACTGAACTAATTCACTCAATCTAACAAAGATTTTACCTTCAGAATCTTAAAGCTGTTGAATCCAAAATGGAGTCTGGGAGTTAAGTGATTCTCCACATATCTATCAGTGTGATAGCAGACACTCATCTCCCCACAGAACAAATTGATTTCTTGGTCAGTCGCGGAGAATACACCCATCCCACCGACTCTTGACTGCTGACTGCGAGTTTCTACTCCAACCTCCTCGGTGCATTACAGGGAAGCGCCGAGATGTTAAAGCCTCAGCCTACAGCGCGCAGCGCTCCTCTGCCGTGACTAATCGGGGCTGGATAAAGTTGCTCAGTGGCAGATTAGTTCTAATATGAGGGAGAGCTGTACTGACAGTTTCGATCCTTCTGTGTACAGAAGCAATCAGCACCAAATTCAGCCACTCCAGGACTCTGTGCGGTTCAGAACAGCCTTACTGTGTGAAACAGGCCTTTATTTAAGTACACACAAAAATGCTTTCGATTCATCCAAGAAAGAAAACTATTAGGATTTTGGCTGGAATCGTTTCTTGGACATTCGTCAACATCTATAGGATTCCCCTCACTCTTTTATCCTCCTGTTAATACAGCTCTAATTTAGAGGACTTCAAGGGGGTTGATGGCACATAATTCAGACGGAAAAATCAATGGCTCTGGCATTTGCTTTTGCATGGCACGCACAAGCTCCACAGCCCCATTGATTTTGTTCTATTTTGGGCAGTAAGGTTCACTTCCCATATTGGCTGGTCAGAGGAGGGCTATTCATCTCGGGTCTAACATGGCCTCAAGCTGGTCTGCCACTACCTGAACAAGCTTCTGGAATAGAGATCTGCTGCTAATGTGTGTGAACAGCCTTGGCGCTCCTCAATGGCTAGCAGATGTAGCTGCCAGCTGAGTCCATTAGTCAGTGAAGTTGAATTAGACCACCGCTGTCCCGTTCGCTCATTCATCTCACTAATGGGAGAGAACAGAGTGGGTTTGGTGTTGCAGAGGTGGTGGAGTTACGTGTAGAAACCCAAGTAAAGGTGATGGAATGATGCAACACAAGTATGCAATAGATAAGGTGCACACAATCTATCCTTGTGCTATCAGACCAGCTGAGAGTCATAAAGTTAAAGATTAAGTGTCTATTTGGAAAACACAAACTGCATTTTTCCTTCACTGAGTGGCAATGACAACTACAGAATAAGGTTTGTTTGTTTCCAGTATAAATTAACAGGATGTCATGACATTATAAAAGCTATAGTTATTCATTTGTAAAGCTAAATCTTCAAATGGCACAAGTGAAGGACTTGTTCTAAAAAAGTGATTTATTTTGGGCTGCATAGCTACATATTAATAAATTATAAATATAATAAAGTATGACAATATGCTAGAATGTTCTTATTGTCAACAAATCCCATGAAATTATCAAAACCTACAATGAATTGATCCTACTAACAAGTATTGTGTGTATAGCTGAAGACTGGCATAGCTTTTTCCTCTGTGTTCCTTGAAGAGGTACTGCACACTTAAACCTGTTTTTGAGCTGTAAACTAAAATTATAATCCTCTCTGAGCCTTTAGCTTGGGTACAGGTACATTTACAAAGGGCTGCGAATGTGCTTCTAGTGACTCCGGCGCAGACACGGAGAGTCTGACAGCAGTGACTCATGGCTGGATAGTTCTGACTACCAGCTTGCTGTTCCTGCTACACTGCTGTGGTCAGTCTGTCAATCACTCCAGTCGGTGTCGAGGCCACGCTCCCTGAAGAATTTGTCCATTGCAGGATTTCTTTTTAGAATGTTCTAAGAGAGAGGGACTTAACAGAATTGAGGGGTGCAGTTACACTTTATGATAAACATGGGTAGGTTATTTAAGTTAAAACACAGAATATGCAATCCTGCTTCCCTAAATTCAGGGAGCACTAGCATGTATTAATCCCCAGTTCAAAACAGTCCCCAACAAATGCAGTTTACTCCAGTTTGAGTAACATTTGCTAAAAACTACAATGCTCAGCTGTTTTAGTAAATTACTGAGCCTTTTTCTATGAAACTATATGTTTTTACATATTAATGTTTAGATGTATATTTTATGTAGGAATCAGTTGGTGTGGGTCTGAGAGCCACAGACAAGGTAGGAAAGTCAGAGTGCTGTGATGCATTATTGGTTTTGGTCCTTTTTACAGGTTTTACAGATTTGTTGAGAGTAAAAAAAACAAATAAACAGACTATCCCCTGACTTTTTCTTAAGAGAAAGAATACTGTATACTTCTGAGATATAAGAAACCACTTAGGGTTGCTGATTAATCGTGTGCACTAGATAAAGCAGGAGATTTCAATGTGCTATGAAGAGAGTTGGAATAATAACACAATTTTTAGTGCTCTTTTGGTTTTGGAGCACAACTATCCAATTTGTTATAATTTGCTTATTAAATTTTATAAGTCATTATGACTAATGAACGCAGTAGCGTAGGCATTTAAGCGGTAAACTTTAATGATACAATAAATGTTATTTATGAGGACAATGTGAAGTCTATTTCTCCTTGACATGAAAAGAATTATTTGAGAAGTACTTCATGTTTCTTGCAGAGATTATCTCACTTGAGTAGAGTCAGGTGCAGGTTTCCATATAGCCTTTGGATCGAGCTCGTTCTTGACCTTGGGAAAAGTAGTTTCACAAACAATCGGCCCTCCAAGGTTCACTTACTAGCTTTTACCAGAGCTTTCAAACGCATCATGTGACTAGTTCCATACTTGAGTCATGTGAAGACAACTGAGCAAACTTAATACACTGCTGAAGACTGTTGGATGTACTTGAAAGTACTGGAAAAAGCTAGTAAATGGACCTTGAGTTAAGATTATTTTG